CGTGCCAGCAATTGCCATGAGCTGCCCAGGGGCTTTACTGGCACCCTATGGCGTGCTGGCAACCTCCACTGACTGCCAAAAGGCTTTACCAGCGTTCAACAGCGTGCCAGCAACCTCCACCGACTGCCAAAAGGCTTTACCGGCGTCCAGTGGTGTGCCAGCAATTGCCACCGGCTGCCGAAAGGCTTTACCGGCACCCTGTGGTGTGCTGGCAACCGCCACTGGCTGCCAAAAAGCTTTACAACCATCCAACGGCGTGCCAGCAATTGCCATGAGCTGCCCAGGGGCTTTACCAGAGATCTGTGGTGAGCTGGCAACCACCACCAGCTGCCAAAAGGCTTTACCAGCGTTCAACAGCGTGCCAGCAACCTCCACCGACTGCCAAAAGGCTTTACCAGAGGTCTATGGTGTGCTGGCAACCACCACCAGCTGCCAAAAGGCTTTACCAGCATCCTGGGATGTGCCAGCAACTGCCACGGGATGCCGAAAAGCTTTACTAGTGTCTGACAACGTGCTGGTAACACCAACCAGCTGCTGAAAGGCTTTACCAGTGTCCTACAGCGTGCCGGCAACTGGCACTGACTGCCAAAAGGCTTTACCAGCATCCTATGACGTGACAGCAACTGCCAAAAGGCTTTACCAGCATCTGACAATGTGCCGGCAACCACCACCGGCTCACCAAAGGCTTTACCAGCGTCCTCCGTTGTGCCGGCAACTGCCACCAGCTGCCAAAAGGCTTTATCAGCGTCCGACAACATGCCAGCGACCGTCACCAGCTGCCAAATGGCTTTACCAGCGTCCGACAACGTGCCGGCAACCGCCACTGGCCGCCAAAAGGCTTTACTGGCTTTCGACGGCACGGCAGGACAGACAGACAGGACATGGTTCAGTAGCAAGGCATAATTTATTGGGATTAGGCGTACAAACTGGCGAGCGAGGCAGCCAGGCGCGGTGAAGCATCACCGTGGGGCACAAAGCCCGGTGACACATCCCGGAGGCTGCCAGCACAGGTACACGGTACCGAGACGCTCCCAGCTCGGTGCCGGGGGGTTTAGGGAGGAGATGGGCGCTTGCGGTCTCAGCGTAGGGACCGTGGGCTCGCCGAGCACAACCACGAGCGCAAGGGATGGCACGGTGCCCTTCACCCGCACTTACACCGTCGTCAGCGCTTCCAGGAGAAAGAGAGGGAGAGGAGAGAGCCCGGCCGGTAAAACCTGGACAGAGGAGGGGGATCAGTTATTCCAGCCACACCACATTCCCATCGCCGGGCTTCGCCACCACTGCCGCAGCCCAGCACCACGGCGTCTCGGCGTTGAGCTGCCCAGCTTTACCGGGGCTGAGCCCCGGCACGTGGGACATGAGGTCTGGAGCATGGCTGGGCTGCCGCAGCCTGAGCTCCCGGCACAGCCCGGCTGCCAACAAGCCTGGGCCGCTCTCACCGCATCCCCGATCGCATCTGTGCCAACGATGCCAGAGCGAGCGAGATGTATGACCGGCACCGGGAGGGCACGGCACCGGTGCCTCTGCCCTTGGCCGAGGGGAAAATCCTTCCTCGCTCCAGCCCCGATTCGCCGTTTCCCTCTTGGGTTAATTTGCCTCCCGGTGTTTAAAGCCAAAACCAGTCTTAGGCAGCGAGTGGTTCTAGGCCCGTTTTTAACATCGATGCACCAAGAACAGACCCAGCTTACCTGCTTTCGCAGCTTAAACGGGGCTTTTCACACCCGTTATCGGCCAAGTCCCGCTCTGCCTTGCTGCAAACACAACTGCCGCGGCACCGGCAGCTTTCCAGCGGGTGGGAGAGGGGTTCAGTAAAACCCCTCAGCAAAGCAAGAACGGCGGGAAGGCGATGGCGAGGTGGGGGGGGTGAAGCGTCACCAGTGCTTCTCCAGAACTTTATAAAACGTCACAGGGAATGTCACTTATGGTTTTGGTTTTCAAGTCTCATTGCTTGGCTCGCGGTCGAGGACGGAGGCTCGAGCCGAAACGCTGCCACGTACTCGGCAAAACCCTTCGCTGCTACCAAATCAATCGCCACGCAAGATAAAACCAGGTTTCGGCAGCACAGAAACAGCGTCGGCGCCAGAGGAGACGCGGCAGAAGGGATGGGAAGCCACCGCTGCCGTCCCGAGCAAGCCATTACCTGTGTAGCCGATCTTCTCGAAGCTGAGCAGGCTGAAGATGCTGTTATATAGCTGCATTTCTTTTTTCCTCGTTTGGTCCATTTCGTCTAAAATCTCCATCAGCTCGTTGCCGGTTTTGGTGGGGTGGGTGCATTCGGCTTCGTGCACCGTCAGCTCGTGGTAGGGACCCTGCCACGGGCACCCGATCCGCTTGTATTTGCACTGGGTCACCCTGGGGGGGGGGGCGGGGAGGGAGAAAATAAGCGTGAATATTCACCAGATCAGGATGCCACACGGAAAACAAGGCGGATCCGGCCACCCCGGCACCGGGAAGGGCAGTGAGGATGGCAGGGATGCACAGAGGCTTGCTCCTGCTGCCACCCGGCTCCTCTGGCTGGATTTGGATCCAGCAGCCCCGGGTGAGATGGGAGCAAGACTGGGAAGTCCGGGAGACCCGTTTCACACCCCGTGGAAAACCATCGGGTAGCGCCGGCGCCGCAGTGTGATGGGTTCCCACGGGATGCCGGCTGCTGCCGACCAGGCACGGTGGCACGCGGATGCTGTTGGCGAGGGAGTGGGGCTCTGCCACGTGCCGAAGCAGCACCACGTCCTCTCCCAAACCACCGTCACCTCCCAAGGGAAGCAGGACACAGCCAGTGGGATTTTGGGGGCAGGACCACCCCGTGCCAGGAGCTGGAGAGGGCACAGGGCGCTGCTGAGCACCGACGGCTTTGCGTCGATGCCAGAGTCGGCACTGGTGGTGTGGGCGAGCCAGGGAAACCCTCCTGCCCGCAGCGCCCCAATTGTGGGGGCTCACCGCCATGCGAGCCCCGGCTTCACCGGGAACCCCCGCTCCAGGCAGCGAGGTTTCCCAAACCTGGCACGTCTCTGTGCCGGACCGGCAATGCTGGCAGCTCCAGCACTCTGCCGAAGGGAAGCGAAGCTCTTTACCTGTCCTGGCACTCCTCTTTCTGGTGCCTCTCCAGGAGGGATCGGGGGAATTGCTGCATGCAGAAGCCACACTCGGAGGGCAGCTCACTGACGGCTTTTTCCACAGCCAGGTTTCGACAGCACAGGCTCTTACTGATCTCGCAGCGGCAGTTTGGGCAAGTCGCTTGTTCCTCCTTCAGCCGAGCGTCTGCCAGGAGGTGGATGAAGCAGCCGGCGCACATCAGGTGCCCGTTGGTGCACTGTGGAAGAGGAGAAATAAAGCATCAGACTCCCACGGGATCCGGCACAGGGGAAACCGAGTCACACAAAGGCAAATAAAGTGAATTTGGACCCGTCGGTGCCGGAGACAGACACGTTGCTGTCCCCGCTCCTCCCGAAAAACCACCCCGGCACGCGGCTCCCTCCAGCTGGCCGAGCCCCTGCGCCGGCTGCCAGCATTTCGGCAAAGCTGGAGGCTGGGCAGGGCAGGCAGGGGCTCTGGCCTCGACCAGCGCCTGCCGGCTCTCGCACCGGCCCAGACACGTCCCCTCCGACGCGTCGCTTCTGTAATTAGGACTGACCTCGTTTGCCTCGCACGGGAGGGGAAGGGAAAGGCTTCATCCCAGCTTCCCCTCCTCCTCCCCTGGTTTCCATCCATCCCATGGGAATCCAATTCCCCGTGGCCAGAAGGGGGGTGTAAGCTGCCCCTCCAACACCATGGGACTCAGGATAACCAAAAACAGCTGGGGAGAGGGGAACGGAGGCCCCCCCCAGTGCCTCCCACAGTGGGGAATGAGGGGAACTGCACCAAAATGGGGGGGGGGGGGGGGGGGGGGGAGGGGGTTCCTCTGTTCCCTGTATCCCCCAGATCCATGGGATCCCAGAGGCCAGAACGTTCCCTGGCTGCCAGGTTAGCGCCGACAGGTTTGGAAGAGTCGAGAGCCCACTGTTAAACCAGCGGGATCAGCACAAAACCACAGAGCCCGCCGAGGGAGACTGGGGAAGACCCATCGACGCAGACAAACCCACCGGCAAAGCAATGGGAACCGGCTCCCAGGGCTCGGATTGCCGGGATGGGACTCAGGTCCCGCACACAGAGGACGAACTCTGGAGCCAAAGGTGGCATCCAGTTTTCCAGAGGAGCGGTTTTCCCTCTCTGCATCAAGAAATCTCTGGAGTTTAGGGCAAAAATCAGTTTAAGATGCATTTACACCAGCCGCCGAGCTGTGCCGGGTGAGACCCTCGAGGAGGGGAAGAAGATAGGGCACCACGCGAGCCAGGATGCTTCGTGGCAGCCCCTGTCCAAACGAGCGGCATCGGAGGAGATTCTGGCAGCGCTTCAGGCACTGGAGCGATCCCAATCCGCTCCTCCATCCGTCCCGAAAACCAGAGGGAAAGAGCAGCCCCCAAGAGCAAAGAGCCAGCGCCGTATTTCTGGAGTTTGCCGCGAGGCGATGCTGTCTTCGTCGCTGCGGGTGGTCCGGGCAAAAGCATCGCCCATAAAACGCCCAGCGGAGCGGGTGAAGGTACCACCAAATCCATCAGGAGCTGCCGGAGGGGGTCAGGAGGCAGACAGCAACCAGGCCGGATGCTTTTCCATCATCTCTGGTGACAGCAGGGATCATTCAAGGGACACGTGGCTGTTCCCGGCGGATGTGAAAGCTCTCGCTGGCAGCTTCGGGCTCCCGCGGTGAAAATCTTTCCCTCGAATCCAGTGGGAGGCCGGAACACTCTGGGCTGGAATGTCGTCACCTCCAGGATGAGCTCCACAACCGGCCAGGCAGAGCCAGCAGCTTTCCAGCCCAGCCAGCACACCGTAGCGGGGGGGGGTCCAGCCTGTCCCGGGGTGGGGGGGTGTCACCCTCCAAATTCCAGCAAGATTCCTGCTGGTGGGATGACCGGGAGTTCATTAAACATCTCCCTGGGAGCGCCAGGAAAAGCTTTAATCCTCAGCCGGGATGGGAAAGGCCTGACCCTGCCGCAGGGATTAGCGCCCGATCTGCTTACCCAGGACATCCATTGTTCCGGCTCCAAAAGGTTTTGGATTTTCCCTCCTGCCGGGCCTGGAGGGCAACAGCCGGGCCTTAAACCGGCCCCACCGTGACTGCTGCCGAAGCACGGTTACGAGATGAGGGTCCCGGCTCCAAAATACCTGCAATGGCTTCGGGATGAGCACCGGCACGCGTCCGGCTAAAAATCCCTTACGGTTTAGGCTCGGCATGGTCCCGGTGAGCCGCCGGCTTCCCCCGCGGTGCCTCGCCGCTGTCGTGCTAAAAATACCAGCAAGCGAGCCAAAACAAGAGGCGAACGCCAGCTGAGCGCTCCCACAACCGCGGCGGTGACGGTGACGGCTCCTCCTCGGTGCGAGCATGTAATTACAGCCGCTCGTTAGTGCTTCGGCCCTGACAAACCCACCCGACGGTGGGAAGGCCCCGGCACAGCCACGCTGCCGGCCGACACCGTGGTCGCTCCCGGTTTTAATTACATCCTTGGCAAAGCACCTCGTCATAAATAATTAAACAGGGGGACGAGTGACCGCAGGAGCGAGGAGGAAGAGGAGGCCATGACGAAGGACACAGCCACCCCCGCCGGGCACACAGAGCCGGTTTGGCAAGCGCCGGCACAGGATCGGTGGGGATCTCTCACCAGGTGCGGCTCCGGTGAGGTTTTAATGCTCTTATTCGTCACCGCTGAGGGGATCCCCCCCTCCCCAAGCCAGCGGCCATCTTACAGCACCCCCCCCCGCCAAAATTAACCCCCCCAAATAAAGCAGGGGGGAGTCCCCCCAAGCTCTGCTGCGCTGGCGGCGGATATTCTCAGCATGCGACCTGCAAAGTGTAAGATCACCGAGGGGATGACCTTTGCGTCCGGGCTCTGCCATTGCCGAAATCGAGCGCCAACCGGCACGCCGCCGGGAAAGCACCGAGCAGCCGTGTGTGCCGGCGGCTCTGCCATCACCGCAGGGCTGCCGACGGGTCGGCGTGCTGCGAAATGGATGCTGGCCGGAGGGAAACACTCCGGCACCTTTACGTAACCGGCAGCTCTGCTCCGGTCAGCGACGGCGGTGCCTGTCCCGCTCCCTGCCGGGACCCCCTGCTCTGGGCAGGGGAGTCTCCCGGGGTGGCACAAACTGGGATAAACTGGGGTGGGGTTGAACCCAGCCCCCCCGCCTTGGGGTCGGTGGGGAGAGGCTGG